ATATTTTTCGGGTATAATTTTATTCGAAGAATTTATTCTAATAAAATTGTATTCGAACATTATCGAACTCTATAGTACAATACACTGCACTATAGTATATTATTATATATAATAATATAATAATAATATAATTATATAATAATTATATTATATTATATAGTATAATACAGTATAATGCAGTATAATAGTGTATAATACAGTATAATACAGTATAATGCAGTATAATAGTGCATAATACAGTATAAGAAAGTATAATATAGTATAGTACACTGTAATATCTTTTCAATATTAAAACTGTCTATTTTCCCGCAGCTGCTGGCTATCAATTTACGAGACCGTAATTTGGTCTCTGATCGGTCCAGTCTGCCTGGCAGTATTTGTCAACTTCTGTATCCTCGTCATGTCCATAAGGGCGGCTTTCACCCTGAAGGAACACATCATGGGCTTCGGGAACTTGAGGACGTTATTATGGCTATCAGTAGCCTCGCTGCCTTTGCTCGGATCCACGTGGACCCTGACAGTGCTAAACGCGTCCGAAAATTCTCCGTCTCTGTCTTACCTGCTTAGTATAGCTGTCGTGGTTCACGCTGCTTTTAGTTTGATCGGCTACTGTTTCATTAACGGCAGAGTGCGACGGAACTTATACTTGAGCTTTTTGAGGTGCATCGGGAAGAAAACACCTTTGCTCGAGGGAAGCATGGGAAATGGAAGTAGCAGCCAGAATGTGAACGGTCACTCGGTGCGTAGACAAGAATCGTATTCTAAGTTGGTAATCGGTAGCAGATATTCGAACTCCTGATTATATTTCAGCGGTCTGCAATGGCGTATTCGTCAACGTACAGTGGAGCCGAGTCGGTGTGCAGGAGGGTTCACGTGGGAGTTTCAACGAGTAGTACAACTTCACGAAGTACAAATAAGACTGGGTCCAGCCCTTACCGTAGCGACACTCATTTAAGACACACGTCCACGTCCACAAGTAATTATAATAGCGATAGGGACCCGTACATGTCGTCCAGGAGTCATCGGTCGGCACTGCATGCCAGACAAGGTACCGCACCGTTCCCTTAAACTATAAATCAAAACGAGCCTGCTTTATTAATCAGAATGAATTTTAGATCCGCCGGAAACGCGAAATCAACGTCGAGATTCAGAGTCAGATTCGGATGGATCGCAAGCGGAAGGTGGCGGAGGGAGGAGCTTGGACCTCGCGAGTTCCCACAGCTCCGACGAAGAGGATGTAACCTCGAGGTCTCACAGGACGATGGGGGTCTCGACGCAGCAGCCAGTTGCGCACAGTTACCTGCCCAACATCCACGCGAACCCCGCGGAACACTTGAACATACTTTGCTCAAACACGGAGCTCTTCCCGAACATTAAACCCATTTACGCGCCTAGATGGAGTTCCCAGTTGCCGGAGGCATACTTGTCGTCGAACGGTGAGTGTCTCTATCGACGCTAGACTCGTGGACGACCTGTTACCATTGCACTAACAATTATAGTGATCGATGTACGCGGCAGTCAATGGTCGGGAGGCACCATCTCCGACAACGAAATGGCGTCGAACAAGACCTCCAGCCCGAACCCACTGCCTTACCCTGAAATAAACTCGCCCCAGAAGAGCCAACCGGACGAGAATTACTCAGAAGGCGAGGAGAAGCTCCACCACCTTGGCGAGAAGTATCTGTTCCCCTACACGGCTGAGGAGGACCATACTGTTTCGCCGACACCGTACATGCTGCCTATAGCTTCCCGTATCCTTGCGTCCAGCATGAGCCATCACTCGCAGAACTCGAACCACGAGAACTTGAGCGGCTCCGAGAGATACGGCAGCCTGAAGCGCGGTCAGAGCCTGCACGGGTCTCAGCACGACAATCTCAGTGGGTCGGAGAGATACGGCAGCTTGAAACGGGGAAAGATCGCTCCGTCAATGTTGGAAGATGCGCCAGAATATATTCTACCCATGAGCGGTAGAATATTGTCCAGCTCGCTGACCCATGATCTACAGCACAGCAACGAACTCGCTGCGCTCAGACAGCAGCAGCAACAGCAATATGAGCAAACAATCACTGAGACCGAGTAAGTCCGCTGACAAAAGTATCTTAAAGGGGGTAACAATTTAGTAGGAGTTGCCCTCTTAACCTTTTCGCTGCGAACGGTGACTATAGGTCATCCAACGTCTGCGTTAGCATATTCACGGGCAAAGCCACCGTAGCGAAAAGGTTAACGATCAAGTGTTTCCTCTGTAACGTCACGTCATTTGTGAGACACTACGAGACATTAGATGAATATCTATCTAATTATGTTTCCAAGTGGGGCGGCGTTACAGGAAGTGCGTGAACTTTTGAAACTTCTTTGAAACGACCATTAGAAACGCAATGCCCCTAATTTTACTTATCTGTAATTCACGCTTGCTCTGGATAACGAAAATGATTAGCGAAGAGGTAAGCGTTTGCAGAATCGCTATGAAATATCGTGTTATCGTTGTTGAAATGTTGTTGAACAATTCCATTTAATGTTGATTCGCTGTAAGTCGGCGATTTCATGAGATCTGTGGTGTTTCAGGAAGGATACTAATGCGGAAACGTCCGTGTGACGGGGCTCCGTGCTACAAACACCGTACAAAGTAATATAACGTACTATTAGCGTAAAATTGAAATTAGGATATATATATATAAATATATATATAAATAATTCTTGGAGCCGTTAACACTCTCCAAGATATATTTTAAGAGCGGCCATGACTGTACTTACGAAATTAGCCATATCGATTAGGATGTATGTGTGAGTGCCTGTTCGTATCTATATACATACGCTTGTCGATATTTCGTTTCGTGTGATCTTAAGCTCCGAATTTCGGAGCACCGACTCTTCCGCGAAAACTCGGAAGATTACTGATGATCTCTAGTTCATTTTCATTACTCGTTGTAATTAATTTCGCTCATTTACTCTCTCTCTCTCTCTCTCTCTCTCTCTCCTCTCTCCCTCCCTCACATCCCTTCCTCTCTCTTTCTAGTACCTTAGTCTCTTGACTCAGTATTGTGCAATGTATACATTCCACTTCCATTTTACATTTTAGATTCTATTATCTCCATTCTTTCCTTCTATTTTTTTTTATACGAAGAAAACGACTTTTTTACGATGTTTTTATACATGCCATGGAAGAAGCGTACAATCGTGCGGCGCAATTTTCATAGTTTTGTATATATTTATACGAAAAGAATGTGACAAAATACATAATTTATATATATCCTTCCATTCGGTCGCGATTCCATACTGTTCCCGGTTGTTCGACGTGTGAGTGGTGGGAGATGCTGCGGAGATCATTTCTCGGTCACCAGGTCGGTCTCGTTGATAAAAATTACCTTTATTCTCATCGAAAATATAAATAAATTACAAAATATATATAGTTAGGTTAAGGTTCGGAAGATCGTCGTCTTTAACGTAAAATCAGTGTACTATTCGCGTGAACGTCGAGACTACTTAACGGGTGTTTCCGGTTTAATTGACTGGAACCATCCGCGAATATCAAACCACGTTTCCGTCCGAACGTCGCTGGTCTAAGACAGGCAAAATAGAAGATCGCTTTGAAGCCGATGGCAAGCCAGCAGAATATTGAGATTCGTGTAAAGTCGGTGAACTATGAGTAATGTACAATGAAATAATTTGAGAACCTCGAAATTAGCTTCTCTCCGTTAAACACTATAAATAGCTCTGGGTAGTCTTAACCATTTGTAAAAAAACACAGATCCCTTGCATGTTCCGATCTGCTACGTTAAGAAATTTGGTAGATCGGCTCCGCAGGAACAGTTGTCTCAGAATTGCTATCGAATCGTTTTAAAAAACAGTTTATCTTGTGGAAACGTGGCCCTCAGGGTCGTCGTCGGCGTGTCTCAATACTCAATACCGATTCTCTACCAAGGTACATTTATACTCAGATGAGTGTGATCCATGTCGAATTACATGCTTTCAAGAGATTTTTTCTTTTTTTTTTATCTTCATTTCGATTATTATAGGATTCTCTTACGTGTAGAATAAACGTATATGAATGATGTGCAAATGTCAGAGACCTGGCTCTGCAAATCCAAATAGAATGAGGCAGCAGTCGCGTGAGAATCCTCGAAGCTGTTCCTGATCAGACGTGAACTATCTACGATTCTACGATCGGATCTGCTCGACTGTGGCACGCACACATCACGAATTAACCGCGCTAAAGGACTAGGAGATTCATCGTTGCTACACTGTGCTCTCCGTGTCGGACGCCACGGATAACGTCTGCAACTTTGGCACCGAGTAATTCTCGGAATGGCCGTGCGACTGTGAGCGGCTGGACACTCGTTCCAAGGTAGACGGCGCCGACGGTGTGTCCTGGTGTGCCTTGGGTGGTATCGGAGGTGGACTCACCTAAAAATTACCACCGTTTCTATTCAATGTTTCACATACAAATCCGCAGTCCACGCGTCGCTTCGATACACCAGTTAAGAGCCAACGACTATTAGCGCAACGATAACTAAAAGAAGATCGGTGCCAATAGAGCTGATCGTTCACGTAATTACCTCCCGGCCGGGCAGGGACTGCGATCCCTGGAACGTGCCGCTAGAAAAATTGCCCGTGGAAACGTTCAGAGCGTTGATCACCGACGGCGGCGATATGTTCATGATATCATTGCACCTGGTTCGAGGTTCGAAATCCTCGTAGCCAAGATTGTTCAAGTTGGGCAAGTGGGACTGAAAGTCCAGCAGACTGGCCGTCGAGATACCGCTGTCGCGAAGATCGTTCGGCTCAGCTTGCGATTCCGAGTCGTCGTCGGTGCTCCATTCGGTGTTACGTTTGTAGGCCAAACGTTTAGGCGGAGCAGGCGGAACAGCGGCGTTGGTGTTCGAGTCCCGTTTGTCTGGAGCTGAAGCAGAGAGAGCTATTCAACGCCCAAGCCTGCCGGCACGTTCTATGTCAATCAATGAACTTACTGCAACCTCTTGGTGGCAACGGTGGTGCAGGTTCTGGTCCAGGCTCGCTCCAAGAAGTCCTCAGGCCAGTCTGATCGACGCCGTCCGTTGGCGTCGGCAACGAATGCCTCAACGGTAACTTGGGGCTCAAAGGTTTGCTCAGGGTTCTCTGATGCGTCGGTCTGGGCGGAGTGGTGCCGTAGCCCACGGAACGAGGCCGCACTTCGCGTTGAGGTATCGGCGGTGGTCCACCGTCTACTTTCGTGTAGAACCCTTCGTCTTCGAGCAGACCGTCGCTGTCCGCGTGGGAGGATCTAGACCCGACGGTCTCCAAGGTGGCTGGCCGCTGCTTCTCGTTCACGGGTAGCGGAGGCAATGGCGAACTGGACAAGAAAGAGCTTCAAATAAGACCTGCTTCTTTGTCGTTCGGAAACTCTCAAAAGTACTTTATTATCTTACATTAAATCTGACTACAATAAAATCTCGATTATCTTTTCTCTATCATCCTATGCCCTCTATTATATACATAGATCAATTTTAGCCGTTTCAAAATACAACACTATTCTTCTACGAATCAACAAAGATTTAACGTAGCGGTATATTTGACTGTTCTGTTATTCCAAACACTTTCGTCCTTGTACATCAGTACGAATAACCGAGGTTCTACCGTGTTTAATCTTCAACGTCTGAAATCATAATCTCTTCGAGAATAAGAATTACTTGACGATGCTGTCCTGATGGATGGTCCTCTGCCTAGCCAGCGGACCGAGGCACTGCTTCAGGTGCGTGAACCTCTCGTTCAGCCTCTTGTGCAACGGTTGCACACCGGCAGGCGCGATCTGCCCGTGCAGAATCAGGCCCGCTTCGAGGACGCTCATTTGATCCAAAATCAAGGATTTCAGTCGGTTCACGTGAGGCACCATGTCAGGGTTCTGTCTGGCGAACTCGGGCGTCAGGAAGGCCTCCTCGTACTTGATGATGCCGCCCATGACGTTCGCGTCGATGATGCCCTGCAGCCTCATGCTGAAAGGGTTGATGTTCCGATGAGGCTCGGCAGTGTATTGCGCGACCAGTCTCCTCAGTTCTCTCTCCACGCTCTGCATGGTCTCGCAGGCGTACTGCACCGGCGCCAGCAGCTCGGACCTCTTCTCGATCACCTCGAACCACCTGAGGATGCCGGGCAGCTTCGCCTCGGTGGTCAGCGTGGTCCTCTCGATCCAGAGCGACTTGAACTCGTTCTCGCGGTCGACCGGGCCCCTGTGCAACGGCCGGTCGAACAGGAACTTGCGCACGTCGTTGACGAGGTAGAACGCGACGATCCGCTCCGGGACTTCCGCCCCGCGGCAGGCCAGACTGCTCTCCTCCGGGATCGGCTTCACGTTGCAGATTTGTATGTCTGAAAGCCAGGATTGAAACGTGTGAGACGACTACTTCTCGCGGTCTGTCGGAGGCTGTCGAGAGAGATCGGAGGAATCGTCCGCGGAGCTTACATTGTCCCTCCGAGGCTAAGATGCTCTCGTCCGGCGGAGAGTTCTTCATTAGTATCTGCGCGCTCGGGAACTCGGTCTGCAACCGCTGCGTGAATGCGCCTATCCGCTCGTACTCCAGGCCGCGGTAGATGAAAAGCTTATTCTACAACACGCCAGCCAAAGATAATTACGCTCACGCTCGAACGACCTCTGCTCGACGCGTTAACGACGCGAGGGTGCCTCTAACGAGGACACGAGACGCGGGTGTTACGCCGACTTTTTAATGAGCCTTTCACGCGATGCGACTGCCGAGATCGCGTTAAGAGCTTCGGGGGATCGGTAATGCGACGAGCGAACCTTGTTAGTCTATAGCTTCTATGAACATTCTGGTATTTTGTATTTTTTAGCGGTACCTGGGGGGCTTAAGTACTCAAATACTCGTCGAATGGGGAATTCGAGTGCCCAAATACTTATCGAGTAGCAAGAAAATTTCGTAATTTATTCGTGGACTCGGATTTTCATTTAGTGTGCATTCAAGTATCTTAATTTATTAGTGTACTTAAATGGATGTCGGAGTATCTTAATTGATTCTAGTACGGTAGAACTTCATTATTTCGTTTTTGTTTATTTTTTTTTCTATTTTACTGGTTTTTTATTTTATTTATTTTGAACTCGGTAACTCTCTCAGTAATTATGTATTTTAAACTCCTCATTTTGTGTGATACTTTTTTGATGTAGAATTCAACGCTTTATCCGAATTCAGGAAGAAATATTAACTATTGCATTTTTAAGAAATTGAAGGTGACCTCATTTTTTTTGATAAGAGAGCAAAATAACATAAAATTGATAACAATATATACTGTATGCCTCCCTGGAATCTCCCTCTATCTGAAACATTTTTTCGTACAACAAATATTTCATGAGTTATTTATTATAATAGGAGTCCACATTCTGCATCTGATTTGACCAAATAAACAAAAGAAAACGTGCCGAGTTTACTTTTGTTTACGTTTGCAATACCTAGATGTTTACATAATTGGAGTAACGCTCGACGCTAATTCAGATAATAAGAGTTCAACAGAAGTTCGCTAAATCGAGCATTGTTCAAACATTCGTTCGAANGAATCAGGCCCGCTTCGAGGACGCTCATTTGATCCAAAATCAAGGATTTCAGTCGGTTCACGTGAGGCACCATGTCAGGGTTCTGTCTGGCGAACTCGGGCGTCAGGAAGGCCTCCTCGTACTTGATGATGCCGCCCATGACGTTCGCGTCGATGATGCCCTGCAGCCTCATGCTGAAAGGGTTGATGTTCCGATGAGGCTCGGCAGTGTATTGCGCGACCAGTCTCCTCAGTTCTCTCTCCACGCTCTGCATGGTCTCGCAGGCGTACTGCACCGGCGCCAGCAGCTCGGACCTCTTCTCGATCACCTCGAACCACCTGAGGATGCCGGGCAGCTTCGCCTCGGTGGTCAGCGTGGTCCTCTCGATCCAGAGCGACTTGAACTCGTTCTCGCGGTCGACCGGGCCCCTGTGCAACGGCCGGTCGAACAGGAACTTGCGCACGTCGTTGACGAGGTAGAACGCGACGATCCGCTCCGGGACTTCCGCCCCGCGGCAGGCCAGACTGCTCTCCTCCGGGATCGGCTTCACGTTGCAGATTTGTATGTCTGAAAGCCAGGATTGAAACGTGTGAGACGACTACTTCTCGCGGTCTGTCGGAGGCTGTCGAGAGAGATCGGAGGAATCGTCCGCGGAGCTTACATTGTCCCTCCGAGGCTAAGATGCTCTCGTCCGGCGGAGAGTTCTTCATTAGTATCTGCGCGCTCGGGAACTCGGTCTGCAACCGCTGCGTGAATGCGCCTATCCGCTCGTACTCCAGGCCGCGGTAGATGAAAAGCTTATTCTACAACACGCCAGCCAAAGATAATTACGCTCACGCTCGAACGACCTCTGCTCGACGCGTTAACGACGCGAGGGTGCCTCTAACGAGGACACGAGACGCGGGTGTTACGCCGACTTTTTAATGAGCCTTTCACGCGATGCGACTGCCGAGATCGCGTTAAGAGCTTCGGGGGATCGGTAATGCGACGAGCGAACCTTGTTAGTCTATAGCTTCTATGAACATTCTGGTATTTTGTATTTTTTAGCGGTACCTGGGGGGCTTAAGTACTCAAATACTCGTCGAATGGGGAATTCGAGTGCCCAAATACTTATCGAGTAGCAAGAAAATTTCGTAATTTATTCGTGGACTCGGATTTTCATTTAGTGTGCATTCAAGTATCTTAATTTATTAGTGTACTTAAATGGATGTCGGAGTATCTTAATTGATTCTAGTACGGTAGAACTTCATTATTTCGTTTTTGTTTATTTTTTTTTCTATTTTACTGGTTTTTTATTTTATTTATTTTGAACTCGGTAACTCTCTCAGTAATTATGTATTTTAAACTCCTCATTTTGTGTGATACTTTTTTGATGTAGAATTCAACGCTTTATCCGAATTCAGGAAGAAATATTAACTATTGCATTTTTAAGAAATTGAAGGTGACCTCATTTTTTTTGATAAGAGAGCAAAATAACATAAAATTGATAACAATATATACTGTATGCCTCCCTGGAATCTCCCTCTATCTGAAACATTTTTTCGTACAACAAATATTTCATGAGTTATTTATTATAATAGGAGTCCACATTCTGCATCTGATTTGACCAAATAAACAAAAGAAAACGTGCCGAGTTTACTTTTGTTTACGTTTGCAATACCTAGATGTTTACATAATTGGAGTAACGCTCGACGCTAATTCAGATAATAAGAGTTCAACAGAAGTTCGCTAAATCGAGCATTGTTCAAACATTCGTTCGAATAAATGGAGTTCACATAAGTAAAGTTCTACTATACACCGATCCTCATTGAGTAGGCATCCGAATAGACTAATTTATTCAAGTACCCAGAGGTACTCATTGAATGGACATAGAAATATCCTAATTTATTCGAGTACTCGAATTTAGTAGTCATCCAAATATCTTTATTTATGGTCTCGGATACTCGTTCAAAATTGTCGGTATAGGCCAAGGTCATATCAAGATTAGCTACATGCTTCAAAACTCATAAGGGATCCGGATCCGGGATCCTAATCTGGAAATTTAAAAAATTCTAAAATTTTGAGGATATATTAGATAGATTTAAGAGGTGGAAAGCAACCCCAAAATATTCGGCTACTTTTTATTTTATTGCTGTAATTCGCAAACTGTACAATCTAGAAAAAAATGTCTTCAAACAAAAGTAACTTCTCTTGTCCAAATCTAATGAAAAGGTAACAAAAGATGTCGATTATTTGTTTATAACTTTTTCCAATTGTTTAAACAAATAACAAATAGTATATCACACAATAGATTTTGACAAAAGGAGGAACTTTTGTTTGAAAACTTCTGTTCAATCTTGTATAGTTTGCGAATTATAGTAATAAAATAAAAAAATGGCAGAATATTTGGTGGCAAATTTTCACCCCCAAATATATAAATTGTAATAAATTTGTCATTAAATATCCCCAAAATTCCAGAATTTTTTGAATTTCCGGGTTGAGGATCGTCCTTTGTCAGGCAATTTTCATCTAAAATGTTTCTGAAAAGATTCACTGTTAGTTCTAATAACGCAAAATAAAAAATCAGATGTCTAAATGAACTTTTTAAACCTTAACATTTTTGTCTGAAACATTATTTTTAAAAATGCTTCCTTTCTGAGATAATCGATCGATCCTAGACGTAACTTAGACAATTTTCATCGAAAATATATAAACAACTAGTGTTTTCGTTTGGCGTGTTCCGTTTAAAAAATTCACGTTAACTTTGATGTGACCTTAATATATTCGCTCAAAGTCAAACGGTTATGACAATTAAGTAAAATATTTCATACCTCCACTTCAGTCTAAAACAGCTTGTTAAGAACTGTCGAATAATTATTCGACATACATAGATTAATACCTTCAAACTGGACAATTTTTGTCAATAAAGCGTTTCAATATCTCCAGATACAACACTCTCAGATTCTATACTCTGTAGAAGAGAAGTTTCATATTTGTCTAATGAGAAGAGAAAATTCGAACGCGAATATTCATCACTGAGATCCAAGTTCAGAATACTCCAATTAAAATCCGGATACTCAAGTAGTCATATTCAAGTCCTGATGCTCGAGTATTCGAGTAGACAATTCTAAAATCGAAATTCGGATTAAAAAGAGTACTCTAAGTACCTGGATACCTGTACGACAATAAGAGCCCTAATAAATTACTTCAACGATACACACAAGCTTACCCTAACGAAGAGTGGGAAGCTGAGACCGTAAAATCCGACGCGAAAATACTCCGGCTCCGGTCTTAGCTGTGTCAGTATGTTATCGAGGAACTTGGCTTGGAGCTTCAGCACGTGGCTCAGCTTCGCATAATCGTAGAGCCTGGTCTCGTAAAGCACCGCTAGCTCCTTGCACAGAGGGATGCCCTTCTCCCAGCACTTTCCCTTGTCCAAATAGTGGATGATCTTGTGATATAGCAGCTCTTTCCTCTGCCACTCCGGTTGCTGCGGATGCGTATGATCGGGAGGGAGGATCGTCGAACTCCAACCGAGTTGATCGGCATAAAGCTTCATCGTGAATCCCGCCTCGGTGTAGTTCTCGGCTGCCAGGTGGAGATCGTGGAGCTTGTAAATGTATCGTAGATACATCTCCTTCCGGTTGAACTCGTTCTTGTAGAAATTCTGGAGCAGAAGCAGCGAGATTCCCATTAGTGAAAGAGTTCGCAGGCGTTCGTTCGATCGGAAGCCGAGATAACACTGTTAATAGACGCTTCGCGTCGCACCATGGTTACTAAATACATTCTTGTTTACACGTCTAATGATTCACCTAATGCAATTATCGCGATCAAATTGTGCCACGTGCAGCGCCGGCATGCACATATTTGTTCATAAGTGCGTCGAGAATCTTTGAACACATAAACACCCTCATACATAAGTACCCGGGCACTTACATAATTGCGAATATCGTTCTAATATCTTGCAAATGTAGTTTATGGATTAGTTATGTTGTCCTAGAAACTTAATATTATTCAAGGACATTGTGAGCAATATTTATTAGCAAACAATATTGCTGTATGTACTTAAGTGTACATCAGCGAAAAGATATATATTAAGTATGCTAATATACTAAGTATATTATACTATATAATATACTATTATATATATATATAGTATAATGTACTATATAATATATACTATATAATATACTAAGTATATTACTTATATGAAGCGATCAAGTTTCAGACAGCCTTCAGACGATGCAATCTATTTATTATGTTCATTTCTGATGAGTATTAGATATCTGTATACATTTGAACGTCTATTAGGTGCTTAATATTGATAAACATTAGTCTGTGAGAATGCCAGCAGAAAGGTCTTATGACTTCCATTTGAGCTTATCACATCTTGTCCAAGAATAACATTAAGTTTGTAGAACAACCTAAATAATCCATAAAATAAACTATATTTCTAAGTGTCCGGAAGCTTATGGTCGAAAGTGTAGCTTCTTGCCCAATGGGTACGTTTATAAAGTCTGCAAGGAACTATCACAAAATCTTGCGACATCTCACCAATAAATTAACAGTGCACGACATTCGTTTGTCTCGGTTCTCGTCGCCCTGGATCACGCTCCTGTAATCCAGAAGTCTCTCTAGCAGTCTTGTAATTGATGTGATGAAGGCTGTCCCGCTCTCCTTCCAAGCTGGATCTTCGGACTGCACTCTGTCCAGTAATCTACAGAGAAATGTAACATTTAGTCTCTGTAATAAGAGAAGTTGAAGGTTTTGTAAGCAAAAGTCCTGAGTGGTGAACTTACACGGCGCTAAGATGTTCCCTAAAGCAGCATGAAATTCAGAAGCAGTTTAAACGTGTCCACAGTGTTAAGATAGTTCAAGTACTTGACAATGAAAATTAGACAATGTTCATCTAGATCAGATATAAGCAGATGCTGCGGAAATTATTTACTTTAGCGATTGCTTACCAATTCCGACGACCTTGAAGCGTGTGGTCAAGAATATTATTTTAAAAAACTTTTCCTTGCACATGTTCCCGTCGTTCGACGATATTATTATTATTATATAATATTATATATAATTATTATTATTCATAATATATATTAATTAATTATATTATTATATATATATATATTATTCATAATATTATTCATTAATATAATAATATAATTAATTTATATATATAATTATTATTATTTCCGTCGTGATATATTAACGAAAGAATTGCATTCTCTCTGTTGATGCTTATTCTACAAGGTGCCACAGGTTTTAATGCTTAAAATTCCTGAGTATAATCTAATGGCACTAAATAAGAAGAAAATGTTACGTAAACATAGGTCAGCATATAAGTGGAATAGTAATCGTCTTGCTGTTTCTGCGAACATCGGGTCAAATAAATCAGTAATATTTACATTGAGTGTGTTTATGTAAGCCGTAATTTCTACCTGAGATCGTCTAAGTTTTTTTAAGTAATAAATACAAGTAAATACATTGATCTATTCGAGCCAATGCTCATAGTAACAGCAAATTGAATAGCCTACTTGTATTTTGTATTTTTGTTATAATTGCTTAATGAAGTTTTAAATGACCGATGTTTATACAACATTCTTTTCTTGTTCAATGCCATAGGATATACTGATTAAATGTGAACACTAAAGCCCTGAGACACCCTGTAAATATAAATGGTAGCAAAGAGTCACCTAAATTTATTTACTTTTTAAAGCAGTAAGAAATTTAATTACCACGGCCATCTCTGTTAAATGAGATGATTCGTTAACACACAAGACTAATCCAGACCTAACTCCATCCATGCTCAGACTAAAGCCAGACTAAACACAGATTTAGGCACTACTTACAATTTTCGAGAACGAATTTTGAAATGCTTTGTAACATCTAAGGCATTTTAAGTATAAGTTAGATTTAGCCGATTTCAATTTCACTCCGTTTTTACATTTAGATTTAACCATATTTATAACGCTCGAAAATTTATACTTTTTGAGAATGGTTTTAAAATGCCTTAATTGTCGAGACTGGGTTAAATCTAAGTTAGGTCCGAGCTAGGTCTGAATTATGTCTAAGTTTTTCAAGAATAAATTCATGAAACAACATTATATTTTATGCTCAATAGAAAACTCAGATGTACTCAATACTAATGGATACTGCTGGAAATTAAATAATTGTAAGATTTGTTATCAATTTCTGATAGACCGCCATAATGACGAAATGGCACCGAAACTAATCTATACATATCGCAGTAGTGACAACAGTGCAAATTGCTCGGAATGCCTAGTGACGGTATGAATACAACGTATATATACTTGCAACATATTTCAAGATCATTGAAATCGGTAAGAAATCGCAAAAGTAAATAATTATCGAGGTCGCCCAACGATGCACTAAGCAAGATAGGCACCATAATATCCCAAGAACAGGAACCACTCTTCCCCATGCCTGTTCCAGTCCAATAACAAAGCTCAACCTTCAAACTCACATAGTGTTGAACAGCTGCCTGTACTCGTCGTCGCCCTTATTTTCACTGATCAAGATATCCAGCTTGTCAATTAGCTCCGACTCGACGGACTTGAAGCTGCCCCGCGCTCTCTGCTCGCACTCCATCATGTCAAAAAAGATATGCAAGGTCGCCTTCCTGAGCTCGCTCTCCGGCACCAGAGTGACCTCGAGAAAAGGGCCCACCATGCCCGGAATGAACTCCAGCTTCCGGTCACCGAGATGGGACCACATCGACAGGATTTGGAAGCCCATCAGCACCCTCATGTCCCCGTACTTCTCGACGATCTTCTCCCTCTTCACCTCCGAGAACTGTTCCAACTGGAGCGACGGCTGAGTCAGATACGCGACAGCGAGATTAAAGTACGTGGACCAAAGCTGGGAGTCGAAACTGCCGTGAAGGAACCGGAAGGCCAGAGGCTGGGCGAGCTCTTGCAGCGACTTCAGGATCACGTTGTTCGCCTGCATCCTGATCACCAGCCAGTCCGGCGGGAAGACCTCCTGGCGGACCAAGTCGCGAAGGACCAAAAACACCCTAAGCAGAAAGTCTTTCAGCGGTTTTCTCTCCCCGGTATGCGTCAGTTCTTCCCAGAGCCTGGCGTAATGATACTCGTCCAGCAGCTGCAGCAGCCCGATCAGACAAGCTACCAAACATCCCAAGACAGTGCCGCTGGTGTTGATCACGATCAGGATGGTCTGTATCAGTACGTCCAGAATGGACAGACACAAAGTCTCCACGTCGTGGTGGATGCAATTGTTGACCTTGTTGGTGTCTCTGCCCCTTTTGTGCAGAAAACTAAGGATCTCTCCTAGGATCTCGGTGCAAGCTCGCAGCTCCTCCCGCCGTACCAGGTGGATCCTCAGATGCCTGCACATGGTGGCCAGCAGCAGGTTCCTGCTCTCGTCGTCCTCGCGGAACAACGACGACGTCGTAAGATTCTTTATCGCCATCAGCTTCGCCTGGATCAGCTGCAGCGGCGGCTCCCTCGGCACCGAGTCCATCATCGTGCACGTCAGCTTCGCCACCTCCAGCACCGGCAGCACCGCGATCAGCTGCTCGAACACCGCCGAGATGGAGTAATGAAGCGCGATCTGCGAGTTCAGCACCAGCTCGTACGGCACGCCCAGCATCTTGTTGAACGAGGCGAACACCCGGTAGATGTCCCTCTTGAAGCTGTCCTCGTACTGGCCGGCGGTCGCCCTGGCGAACAGCAGCCGGCTCTGGATGATGAACTTAAAGATGTACTCGAGCGAGCGGAAGCACTTGATGATCGGCTCCTGCTTGTCCGCGGCGCTCGCCCAGTCCGCGCAGTGCTGCACGCTGCTCAGCAGCCCTTTGTAGACCAGCGCGGCGGCGAAGTGGCCGGAGATGTACGCGTCCATCACCGGCTTGAAGTGCTCGAACTTAGAGTCCTCCAGCAGGCTGAAGATCGACACCAGGACTTGGAACACCAGCCCCGAATGCGCCGTCGAGTTGCCGTCCTCCGTGTGGAACATGGAGAACAGGGCGTCCAGGATGTCCTGCAGGAACTTCACAAGTTCCTCGCCGTCCAGGCGCAACACTCGACCCAGCGCGTCCGAGATCCGCTCCGGGTGAGCCTTCCATTGCAGCAGGCTCAGCAAGTCGACGTTCTGCGTCAGCTTCGTGCTGCACAGCAAAGTGTGCACCAGAACCGCTTCCTTCGGCGATCTGGAGAACGCTGTGAAACCTACGGAGATGACAAAGACTGTTGAAGATCGGAGTTCTCTGTTTGTTGATCAAGGGTTTGTTGCTCATCATGTAGCCGCATGATGAACTCAGGACTGTCCTTCAGCCGATTTAATCTTTTGTACTTGAAGCTACAGTGGTATCAATAATTGTAGATTGAGATATCACTTTTAGTGATATTTATACAAAGACTTAACGATATAGCATATCCTCATATAGACTGAAATATAACTTTTAGTGATATTTATACAAAAACTCTTAACGATATATCATATCCTCATATAGACTGAGATATCACTTTTAGTGATATTTATACAAAAACTTAACGACATATCATATCTTCATATAGACTGAGATATCACTTTTAGTGATATTTATACAAAAACTTAACGACATATCATATCCTCATATAGACTGAGATATCACTTTTAGTGATATTTATACAAAAACTTAACGACATATCATATCTTCATATAGACTGAGATATCACTTTTAGTGATATTTATACAAAAACTTAACGACATATCATATCTTCATATAGACTGAGATATCACTTTTAGTGATATTTATACAAAAACTTAACGACATATCATATCTTCATATAGACTGAGATATCACTTTTAGTGATATTTATACAAAAACTTAACGACATATCATATCTTCATATAGACTGAGATATCACTTTTAGTGATATTTATACAAAAACTTAACGACATATCATATCTTCATATAGACTGAGATATCACTTTTAGTGATATTTATACAAAAACTTAACGACATATCATATCTTCATATAGACTGAGATATCACTTTTAGTGATATTTATACAAAAACTTAACGACATATCATATCTTCATATAGACTGAGATATCACTTTTAGTGATATTTATACAAAAACTTAACGACATATCATATCTTCATATAGACTGAGATATCACTTTTAGTGATATTTATACAAAAACTTAACGACATATCATATCTTCATATAGACTGAGATATCACTTTTAGTGATATTTATACAAAAACTTAACGACATATCATATCTTCATATAGACTGAGATATCACTTTTAGTGATATTTATACAAAAACTTAACGACATATCATATCTTCATATAGACTGAGATATCACTTTTAGTGATATTTATACAAAAACTTAACGACATATCATATCTTCATATAGACTGAGATATCACTTTTAGTGATATTTATACAAAAACTTAACGACATATCATATCTTCATATAGACTGAGATATCACTTTTAGTGATATTTATACAAAAACTTAACGACATATCATATCTTCATATAGACTGAGATATCACTTTTAGTGATATTTATACAAAAACTTAACGACATATCATATCTTCATATAGACTGAGATATCACTTTTAGTGATATTTATACAAAAACTTAACGACATATCATATCTTCATATAGACTGAGATATCACTTTTAGTGATATTTATACAAAAACTTAACGACATATCATATCTTCATATAGACTGAGATATCACTTTTAGTGATATTTATACAAAAACTTAACGANTGGTTTTTGTTTAAATATCTGTAAAAATGTAAATGTTACTTTTTGAGTTTATAATTATTCACAGCACTGTAGGTGGTCTCTTTTAGCTGAGTTATCCTGTATATTTATAGAAATAAACAAAATATCATATTTGTATATTACTATATTAGAAATAATAGAATATTATTGTATACTATATCCAAATAAAATGTTATACACAACTTAACAATGTAAAAGTCACTTTGAGTCTATAATTATGCACATCACTGTATTTCAACTCTAAATCCAAGACTTTCTTCTGGCCTGCAGTGTTTCGATTTGATATAATTTATTGCATTTTATTTGCACAATATATTTATACTTTTAAGATAATTTAATAATAATTTAATAAAATATATATTGAATAATATTGAATATATATAATATTATATATAATAATATATAATAATATATATAATAATATTGAATAATATTTATAATAATTTAATAATTATATAAGAAAACCGGGATAAGAGAGAGAAAATTATTTTAAAATGGTGTATAACATTTTTTTGTGATGGCTCAGAGTCGCCATTCGAGTGCAAAGGGTTCTATGGTTCTAATATGGTTATGGTATCTAATAATATTCTATGGTTCTATATGGCTCTATTCGAATGGCTCTAATATGCCATTCGATAGATCATGAAAAGAAAACATTTTCTGGAAAATTTTAGCTCTATAACACCAATTGGGTAGTTCTAGGGTGTCCTCAGTTTAACAGTTGTTTCTGAATTTTTACTGTTTGAAACAAATGTGACATATGGCGACTGTAAATATACATTTTCGAGAATTCTTTCCGATGTTTAAGTTGAAATTTGTAATGGTAAAAATTCAAAACGTCTGTACTGAAGTGTTCCGGAACTCCCATTACATCCAGAAAAGAACGATTCTTGAGGAGATTTGAAGAAACTTTTTCCTTTGCCAAAATGTTCTCCACGGCTTCGTTAATAAGTAATGAACGAAAAACGTGAACCAATTAGGGAGCGAGTAAGGCTGGCACGCCGCCCTCGCGGCCAATGTCGAGTTGCGCTCGCTATCGCACCGGAACTTAAAATAACTTCTGAACCAATAATCTTTCGCAATATGTAGCTTAGTACTTTTATGTACAAAATAAAGAGCTGTATCGATTGGCGTAACAAAAAATATGTGATTCCATTTAAAAAAGTAAACTTGACCTCCGTATCTTCTTTACACATCGGCCTAGAAAAATCTTACCACTATCAGATTATGCGTCCCTGAAAACGATTCAACATTTATTTGAAACATTTTTCAGTAGGATGAACGGTTTCAAAGATATTTGACTGGATCGATGTAAACGAGTTACCCTTTTAAATCATACATCTAAATTATTTTCCTTACTACTAAGAGTAAAAGGAATTGCAGAAATTGATTTGAAAAAGTTCGCACAAGGTCATATCGATAGACTTTTCAAGATCATAGGAATTTGTTCGTGTATTCACATATGTTAGCTGAGCATCTTCGGGTATCCCAACTCTTTTTTCGGTGAGTTTATACATGATATTTTCATTTCAAACAGCCTGAAGGACAGTCTTGACCGGCTGCAGCCTTTAGGGTTTCCACGAGGACGTAATGGATCACCTGTTGCGTTCGGCTCGCGGCCGCAGCTCGGCAAGGAAAGGTAGCTTAACGAGTCCAACTTGGTCCGGTCCTCGCACTTGTAGATGTACAGCTCGTGAGGACCATCCTGAAGAGTGGCGCCGCCGGGCTCCATCAGTCGGACGAAGGCGAAGGAAAAGAGCTTCTTGTCGGTCTTCTCGCGAGCTGAAACGCGTATTAATTAGCGGCCACAGAGTTCACATATTTGCGCCAGTCCCCTAAATTATTTGAAACAAAATAATTATGGTAATTAAGATACCATATTATTTTATTTGACTAGATGCTATTTGAAATAATTACACGTTAGTTTATTTGGGCGGCCAAATAATGTTTCAAATGTTATTTCGTTGTCTGGATTTAAAATAAAATAATCTTTTACTTTATTCGTTGTTTGATCAAATATTCAAATATTATCTCAAATACTGTCTAATTCTATCGTGTCAATTACGCCAACAATGTAAGTTTGTATGTTGAAAACAAATGCAGTTAAGATATCTGTGTATAATTAAATTTAGTTAAGCATAATTAATTCGTTTCAGTAATTCTCAATTAATTTCGAACAATTCATTCGAAAATTCTTGTTAATTCTTATTGATTTCAGTTCCAATTAATTCTTACGTCTTATTATTTGTTATTTTATATCGGCGAGATATTGAAATAAAAAATTATTTAAATATAATGTATTTATATTGAAAACAAAG